CGACCACTGTCTGGGCGGCCACAGCCCGAGTGCCGCCCCCAAAGCCCGTGCAGCACCGGCTCCCGCAGGAGGCCTCCCCCCAGGCTCACAGCCACCCCTCGACAGCAAGACCAGGCCCATCCAGGCCCATGTGGACTGAACCCGCCTCCAGGCCCAGCCCATCTGAGAGCCCCCGACGCTGCCAGAGCCACCTGGAGCGGCGTGTGCCGTGGTGGCTGCATGCGGGGCACGTTCATGGTGCGTGTGAGCACATGCGAGTGTGCACGTGTGTGTATGCAGGTGCGCATTCATCTGTGCACTTTGCACATCTGTGTGTGTGCATATTAACATCTGTGTGTGTGCATATTAACGTGTGTACACGCATTCACCTGTGTGCACTGTGTGTGCCTGTGTGTGCAGGCCTGGGTGCGAGTGGTGGGGGCTACAGACAGACCCGCCCTGGCCTGGGCCCGCTGCAGAGGCCTCACTGGCCGTAGGAACCTACTGCCAGACAACTCGGTCCTCAGCCCCCCACCCACCCACCCCTACCGAGACTCCTGGACATAGATCGTTCATCCCCATTGGGCCTCAGGAGGCACCAGGGGTGAGAGCCCCGTCCCCAAGCATGTAGCACTTATGCGTGTGCCAGAGACCCAGCACAGGGGCCACGCAGAGCCGGGTAGGCAGACCAGGCCCTGCCGCCAGGGGCTTCTGAAAATGCTAACTGAGCCTCAGGAGGCCTCTGGAGCACGCTTGCCTGGGCTGGGTCCACTTGGGGCCGGTCAAGAAGGAGAGGCAGCAGGCAGCACGGCCCGGAGCGTAGCAGCAGCACCGAGGCCCTGGCCAGCAGGACAGCTCTGCCTGTCTGCACAGCAGGCCGGCCTCCACGAGGTCCTGACGTCCAGTCCCAGGCAGGCAGCAGGCGCCCAGGCTGAGCTGGCAGCGTCCTCACAGAGGCAGCAGAGGGCCCTGGACAAGCGGGGAGAGATCTGGAAAAACGGGACAGGGAGGGGCACCAGGACCCAGCCCGGTCTGGAGACAGACCAGGCCCCGGCCCGCGCCCCAGTGCCACTCACCCGGGAACTCGACGGCCAGGGTGGCATGCAGCTGCTGCCCGCGACAGCACCCAGTATGAGGTGAGCCAGCCCGCTCACACCCAGCCCTGCACACGCGAGTGCCCTACTCTCCCCTGCACAGGCCTGGACCAATTTTATTTAGCTGCTTTCTGCTCCATTTCACGCTCATTCAGCTGCTGAGCTAGACAATTGCTTTGTAACTCTAGGGTGCAATTTCCCTGTCTGGGAGGCGCTGGGCACAAGCACTCAGAACATCTCGCACCAGGCTCAGTGGGTGTGCAAGCCAGCCCCGCACTCCACCTGCCTCCTGCGGGCCTCCTGCGGGCGAGCGCAGTGGGGGCAGAGCGGGTGGGGGCGCCCCGCCTCACAGGAGCGCCGGGCAGGGCACCCCTCTGCCTCTGCTCCCGCATCCGATCCACCAGCCATCGCCGCTGCGTCCCGGGCTGGGCCAGCACGCGAGGCCTGGACCCGCCCTGACCTGGCCAGAGTCACGGGGGCTGGCCACAGCCTTGCTTCCGAGGGACCATTGGACAAACTCCAAGACAGATGCCTTCCCTGGCTGGGTAAGGCCCACACGTGCGTCCATTTCACAGGCGGGCAGCTGAGGCTCAGCCCGGCAGGCCGCAGACACATGGAAAGCGAGGACAGAGGACCAGACCCCGGCGACCTGACCTCTGGTCCAGCCACCAGGCACAGTTGGTGGGAGCCTCGCCCTGGGAAGGGGCAGCTGCTGGGGTCCGGCCCCGCCAGGGCTGGCCAGGTCGTTCAGGAGGCCGGTGGGGGAGCAAGTGACACAGGGAGCTGAACGGGAGGGGTGAGAGAGTGAGGCTGGAACCACGTGGGCCTCTTAAAACACAAACCCCGCAGGCTCGAGGAAGGGGAGCCGGGACATGTAGGAAGAGGCGGGGGAAGCCTGACCCAGGACCACCCCCGTCCACAGCAACCCAGGAAACCCACCTGCCAGCCATGAGCCCAAGTGGTCACTGGCCCCAGGAGCCACTGCCCGGACACTCAGGCTGAGGACGGCCACCCGGTCCTGCCCGGCCCCACCAGTTCCCACACAGAGAAATGCGCCAACGGGCACCTCAAGGCCACGGAGACAAACGCCAGCCGTGGAGGGGCGGGCGGGCAGGTTGCGGCCTGTGGAGCAGCCTGCACCGGCACAGCCAGAGGGCCACCCCCAAGGCTGCTGCCCACGGCGCACCGGAGGCCAGGGCCCACAGCGCAGCCCGAGAAAACGAAACGGGGACCGGCCCAAGGGTCTAGGGCAGCAGGAAAGGCACTCGCCCGCCCCCACCCGCCCCTGCAGCCTGCACTGCGCTGTCCTCGGGCCCTCTCCGAGTACCAGGCCCCGGAGCTGCATGCTCAGGCGCCCCCTGGCAGGGGCCCATGCCTGAGTGCCCATCCTATGCCTGCTCAGCAAGTCTACGCCCCCAGGCGTCCTCCCCAGACCACCATCAGAAAGTCCCCGGCCACAGAGGATGAGGCGGGGCCCAGGGAGAGCAGGCCGCGGGCCTCCCCGAGGGGGCGAGGCTCCGTGCCGCCCTGAAGGACAGGCACAGCTGGAAGAGCCGCCCGGGCAGGCCCCCGGCGGCCACCCCCATGGAAGGGCGCACGGCTCCTCTGCTGAAGCCTCACTCGGTCCTGGCCCTCCTGGGTCCCGCGTGCCACCCACATCTGGGCACCGGGCTCAGGGCTTCGGCTGGCCCAGCCGCCAGCACCAGAGGAGGACGCCAGGTGCCAGGGGCACGGCCAGGCCCGCCGAAGCCCGTGCCGCTCCCCGCCGCAAGCAGAACCCCCGCATGAAACAAGCCCAGCAGCCGCAGTGCCCGGACCAGCAGAGCCTCGCAGGCCACTCCAAGTCCAGCCTCCGGGCCCGGCCTCCCAAGAGTCACATGACCCTGTTATTTCGGGAGGCCCCGGAATGTGCTCTATTTTGGGTCCCGAGGGCTCTGGCATTACCAGAAGCCCCTCTCCGGGGGTTTAAGTTTGCCCTGGTCCCCAACAGCTCCCCGGAGCACAGCCAGGAGGACCTCTGCCCCCCGCTGGCTGCCCCGTCCCGGTCTGGGCAAACACGCCTCCAGCAGCCCAGGGGGTCTGGCAAGACCTGGGGCATCCGCTGCAGACTCGGCCTCCCTGCCCCACGGTCCAGGCTGACACCGTGCCAGCCCCCACCCCCGGCGGGTGCCAGGCCCTAGCCCACCCTGGGCAGCAGGCTCAGGAAACAGGGGCTGCCTCACACACGTTACCCAACCACCAGAACGGTACTGGGCCTGTCCCTGCCCTCACCGGGCGGCCCAGCGGGCAGCAGCTGGGAGACTCTGGGCAAGAGAGGGCAAGTGCTGGGCCCACCAAGCCCCAGGGCAGTGGGTACAGGGAGAAGGAAGCCCTGCCTGCCTGAGGCCCGAAAGTGGCCAGACTGCCCAGAGGGGTGGTGAAGCCTGGCCAGTAGCTCCGGGTCTTGGCCCGGGAGACCAGCCGGCCCTGGACAGGACAGGCCTTCTGACACCCACCCCCAGGGATTAGGCTGTGTTGACAAAAGGGCTCAGGGCTAGTAGGCGCTCGAGTGGACCTTCGACTCCCAGGACTTCAGAGCTGGACACAAGCTCAGAAAAAAAAGAAAATGGAATCAGGGCCCGGGCCGTCCTCTCAGGCAGGGCCCAGGCTGCACACAGGCCACCCTCGGGTGGGGAGAAGACCCCACCCCGCCGGCCCCGGCAGTGGCTCCCAGACACGGGCCTCCTCACGGCGGCCACCGCGAGGCCCGACCCCGTGTGCGGACCCCGGGACCCTCGGGCATCAGGGACAGGCCGTGCTCTCCCGGCGGGGGGGTGGGGGCGGGCGACACAGCGGGCTCTCCTGCTCGGAGCCGGGCTCTGCGTGTGTGTCTGCGTGTGTGTGTGTCTGCGTGTGTCTGTGTGTGTCTGCGTGTGTGTGTCTGCGTGTGTGTGTGTGTCTGCGTGTGTGTGCGCGCGTGTGCCGGTGCTCGGGAAACTTTAATGGGAGGAAAGGAGCTGCGGAGTGCGCGAGCTCCCCACACCCCGGAGCCCCGGGCGGGGTTCACACCCCACAACCTCCGCTGTCACTGTGGCGCCCAGGCCCGTCCTGCCCCCGGGGGCGCCCGAGGAGGCGCCCGCCCGGCCGGCCCGAGTCTCCGACGGGACGACGGGCCCCCCCGGCGCGGCCTGCGCGCCTCCAAGTCCCTCCAAGTCCCGGGCGCGCGGCGGGCCGGGCCGGGCCGGGCCGTCCACCGGGGCCCAGAGCGCCCGGGGCCCGGGGGCGCCTCTCCCCGCCGGCCTGACAGCCCCGCCGGCCGCAGCCTCCCCGGCCGGGCGCCCCGCCCTCCTGCCCCGCGCGGACGGGGGGCGGGGGGCGCAGGCCTGCCCCCCCCCCCCCCCCCCCGGCCCGGCTGGAGTTGGGGGGCGGCCTCGCGGGCGGGGCGGCCGAGCTGCCCCGCGCCTCTGGGGTGCGCCCCGAGCGCAGGCCGCTCTGGGCCGGCCGCGGGGCCCGGGCCGCGGGGGGCGCGCCGGGCCGGCCGGGGAGCGGCGGCGGCGCGAGGCCGTGGGGACCCGCCAAGTCGCTGCGCCCGCCCGGCCGGCCGGGTCCCTGCGCCGCGCGGCCGGGGGGGCCGGGGGGACCGGGGGGCCGGGGGGCCGGGGGGGCCGGGGGGACCGGGGGGCCGGGGGGCCGGGGGGCCGGGGGGCCGGGGGGGCCGGGGGGGGGGGCCGGGGGGCCGGGGGGGACCGGGGGGCCGGGGGGCCGGGGGGCCGGGAACGGGGCCGGGCGCCGCCGGCCGAGGGGCCAAGTCGGGGAGTGGGGCCGGGGGCGCCCCGAGCCCCGCCGCCGCCCCCCGCCCGCCGCCGGCGCGGGGAAAAGTTGCGGGGCGCGGGGTCCGGGGCGCCCCCGCCCGGCCGCCCGCCCGCCGCCCGCCGGGCCCGCACTCACCGAGCGGCAGGAAGTGTTTGGTGTCCATGGCGGGCGAGCGCGGCGGCCCCCGGCGCGGCCGGCCGGGCCCGGGCGGCGGGAGCCGGCGGCGGCGGGGCGGCGGCGGCGCGCGGAGGCCGCGGCGCGGCGAGTTGTTGCAAAAGTCGCCCAACAATGTAAACTCTGCGCCGCGCGCCGCCGGCGCCCGCCCGCCCGCCCGCCCGCGCCCCGCGCGCGCCGCGCGCGCCCGTGCCCGTGCCCGCGCCCGCCGCGGCGCCGGCGGGGGGTGGGGGGGCCCGCGACGGGCGCGGACTCGGCGCAGCGCCGGCCGCCCCGCCCCGCCCCGCGCCGCCGCCCGCCCGCCCCGCCCCGCCCCGCCCCGCCCCGCCCGCGCCCCGCCCCGCGCCCCGCGCCCGCGCCCGCCCCCCCCGCGGGCGCGCGCCCCGCAAACTTGCGGCTCCGCCTCCGCCGGGCGCCCGGGAGCCGCGGGGGCGGCGGGGGCGGCGCGGCCGGGCGCGGGGCGCGGGCTCGGGCCTCCCGCCCGCCAGAAGCGGCGGCGCCCGGCGCCGGGGGGCCCGGGGGGCGCGGGGGGCGCCGGGCCATTGTCTCCGCGGCCGCGCCGAGCGCCGGCCCCGCCGCCCCGGGGGAAAACTGAGGCCGGAGAGGGGCCGCGGGGCGGGCCCGGGCGGGGCGCGGGGGCCCCGGCGCGCGGGGACAGCGGGCAGCGCGGCCACCCGCCCCGAGCGCGGCCGGGGAAGCGCCCTCGCCCGCTGGCCCCTGGCGGCCCGGCCCTCCCGCGGGGGGGCGCAGCCGGGCCGGGCCGGGCCGGGCCGGGCCGGGCCGGGCCGGGTCTCTGCCCGACTCTGGGCTCGTGATTCGGTTGTTTAAAAACGAAAGGAAGCGCGAGGCCGCGCGGGGCGGCCGGCGGGGCTCGGGGGCCTACCTGCGGGAGCCCAGGCCGGCCCCCCCCCGCCGCCCCCCCACCCCCCAGCGGCGCTGGCCGCCCCCGGGCCCCAGCCAGGCAGGCCTCACGTGGGCCCGGCAGTGACCGAGAGGGAGGGGCGCCGGGATCGCGGTCACCCGGCCCGGAGGCCCCCCCAGACCGCGCATGAGGGGCCGTACCCTGCCCGGGCGACCTCCCTTACGGCCTCACTGTCCTCCGAGCAGGGGCAGCACCATCAGCCACCATCTCCCCCCAGCCACTGGCCCAACCCCCCAGGCCAGCGTGTCCTGTCCAAGCGGGAGTGTCCTGAGGGGCTGTGGGTGGCCACCACGGCTTGGGGAGCTCTCCACAGCCAGCCCCCTGCAGAGCCTGTAGGGGGGTCCCCCCTCCCGGCTCTAGAAAGCTGGACTGGCTCCTGGGCCCAGTCCCTCACCCTCTCCGGCCACAGCCTGTTTAACTGCAGCCCCAACCGCTGTCATCAGACCCACGTCTCTGCTTCCTCGAGCTCAGCCGCTGCCTCTAAAACTGGCTCCTGTTGGCCAGGCGGCCAGGGGGCAGCCGCTCCCCTCCTTGACCCTGCCCCTCACTGCTGGCAAGCCCTGGAAGAGCAGTGCCAGGCCCCCCGTGCCTGCTTTGCTTGACGACCTGTGGGCAGCGGACACCACCGGCCCGCCTGACTCCCAGGCACGCTGGCAGGACAGCCCACCCAAGACCCCGTGGCACTGGGCCTGGGTGACCCTGGCGGGCAGCGGCGGCAGTGGGCAACAGGAACAGCCCTGTTCCTGGCAGCTCAGCCCACCTCCTGGGGCCTTTGTCCGGGCTCCCGCCTGCACGCTCGGTGGAGGCGTGGCCCCGGTGTCCAGGCCTGGGCCAGCGCCCAGCTCTGCAGTGCCCAGCCACGCACCTCAGTTTCCCCATCTGCACAGTGGGCGTGACCACACCCTCCTCGCTGAGTCACGATGGCTGAACGAGGTAGTGTGGGAGCCGGGCGCTTCCAGGTGCCCGGAGGTGGGAGTCGCTGCTCCTCCTGCTGAGCCCCAGGCAGCCCCAGCCTACGGGGTCCAGGGCACGCCCACAGGGAGTGAGGCAGAGGGAGCTCCTCGGACACTGACCGGAGAGCAGGGCCACAGCTGGCCAGAGGCCCCAGACTGGCTGGTGCCTCAGGTGCGCTTGGGGGGAGGGCGGCCAGGGGCTCTGTCAGTTAAGGCTGGGGTCCCGGCAGGAGGACCCGCAGGGCCCACGGCCTGGAGATGGGTGTCCCCGCGCACAGGAAGCGCAGGCCGCCTGCCCACGTGGCGGACAGGCAGGGACACGCCTGTCGGGCCCTCGTGGGAAAGCTGGTCTCAAGGGTCTGAAGTCGCCCAGACTGAGGGCAGCCGGCACCCTGGGCCCCTGCCCCTCCTCCAGCCCCACCCGGCCACGCAAAACTAGACAGTGTTTTTTGAAGCAGTTGGCGCCTTAGAGACCAGCCTCATACAGACAAATTTCCACCCGCTTCCCGCCCCAGGGGAGGCCAAGGGCCCCGGAGACCACGGCCTTGGGAGGAGCCCAGGTCCGGAGCCCAGGCCGGGCCTCTCTCCTGGAGGGCGCAAGGAGGCTGCGGGGCTCAGCTGCCCGAGGGCGACCCTCAGGCCCGCCTGCTCCGGTCATAAGAGAAGGCTCCCCGGCTCCTCCCTCCCCGGCAGGGCTCTTTGCTGCAAAGGACCCACACTGCCCGCCGGGGTGGCCGGGTCCACGCTAACCATGGAAAAAACCGCCCCCGGCTTTCCTGCCATGTGCTTCTGCAGCCAAAAATATTTTTATAGTAATAGCCATCTATTTACAACCTGAGATCTGAGAGGGTTTGTTTTTGTTTGGAGCTTTTTATTTTTAATTTCCCTGAAGAATGCTTTTCAAGGTACTTTGCCCTGCTTTGCGCTCCCGTCCCGGCTGGGTCCTGTAAACAGTCTCCAGCGTGGCTCGGTGAATAATATTTTGAAAGGCCGCCGTCTGCCAGCCGTCCCTGCGGCGGGGGCTGGGCGGAGGATCCCAGCTTCCCGCTCAAGGGCCGGCTCAGCTGCTTCCAGCTACTCTCCCTGAGGGGCAGTCGGTGCGCCTGAGCTGTGACCCCCCGCCACGGGGAGCCGGGGCCTCGCCCCCCCCACACACAGCTGGGCACCTGCAGCCTGTCCTGGAGAGCGGGGGGTGGGGGGGGCCTGTCTGCCAGTCTCTGCAGCTTCTTCGGGGTGACCCCCTCTGCGGGGAAACTCAAGCCGGGGGACGACGAAGCCCAAGGGCTGGCCGAGATCACACAGCAAGGCCAGGGCCACCCGAGCCAGGTCCCTTCCCTCCGTCAGACAGGAGCCCCCCAAGTCTTGTCCTTGGGCTTGCAGTGGTGGGTTCTGATAAGTGAGGGGAGGGGAGGGGAGGGGTAGAGAGGAGGAGGGGGAGGAGGGATGGAGAAGATGGGGGAGGGGAGGGGCAGTGGGGGGAAAGGAAGGCTGGGGAGGGTTGGGGAGGGCCTGCAGCTGCTGGACAGGGCCCAGACCACACCTCCACCATTGCCCAGGTGGGGCTCAGCCTCGGGCCTGGCCCCAGGGACAGCACCAGCAGCACAAGAGAGTTGGGCTCCTGTGATTGCCTACAGAGGTGGCCCTCCTGGTCCCCTAGGGGGCTGCATGGGGATGAGCTTGGGGGGCAGTGGCCAACTCAGGCAGACCTGTCCTTGGCGGGGGCCGGCCTCAGGGGGCAGGGACTTGTGGCTCCGGCTGGAAGTCAGGGCCGCTCGGAAGGGGTGGCAGACGCGGGGACAGATGAGGACACCGCTGGTCTCGGGCTGTGGCTGGCCGGCGCACACCTGCACACTCTCCCACCCTGCAGCCTCACAGCCCGGCCTCCGGCCCCCTGAGCAGAGGGGCAGCGGCTCTGACCGGGCCCCAGGCTCAGGGTGAAGGTTAAAGGCCAGACCCCCCAGCACCACGCCCCTCCTGCGCTTGCGGCCTGTGGGCTCACGTAGGTGGGTGGGTGAGCCAGGGCGCCCGGGGCAGCGAGGCCAGAGCGGAGGGCAAGGCCGCAGCCTGGAAAACTGGCGCCGGGCAGGTGCCACAGCCAGGCTCGGTCACCGGCGCTCGACCTCAATCCCGTCTGCAAAATGGGGGAGCAGAGCCAGCTGGGCAGGGAGCAGGAGATGAGACTGGGGACGGGAAGTGGAAGTTGAGGAATCCCAGGAGCTGAGAAGGGCCCGCGGCCCGTCCCTCGCCAGCCCCCGCCCGCCCGGCCGGAGAGGGTGGCTTTCATCGGGGCACTTATTATCGACAATTGCGGCATCCATCTCCCGCGCTCGCGGGGTCCGGAGAGGTGGGAGAGGTGCGGGTCGGCAGCGCCCCGTCTCCCCGCCGGAGTCAACTTGCCCCCATAAAGATAACAGGAAATGATTCCGAATGTTTATTTGACAGACATGATATGAGCCGTAATAGCCTGTTGGGATTAAAAATACCCGTTCATCTCTGTCACCCGCCAATGTGGTTTAAATATTATGTATGTGGCCGCGGCGGCGGGCGACGGAGCGGTTATTGATGGCGCCGTAAAGAGGGGCCGGTTTGCCTTGAAGGATGGGAAAGGGTGGGGGCACTTGGCCTAAAGCGCCTGGGTGCTCCATCCAGAGAAACCGCGCAGCCCCCGCCCCGGCCGTGAGCGAGGCGGCCCGGCCGACCTGCCCCCCGCGGCTCTGCACCCTCGGCGGGGTGGGGCGTCCTGGCCTGGCTGCAGACTGCAGCTCAGGGTCCCCACCGCAGAGGCCCCAACACCCGCCCCTGCTGAGGACCCCTCACCTGGTGGCCGTCCCCCACCCAGCATGGCGCAGCGGCCCCCCAGCCGCCTCCCAGCGGCAGTGCCGCTCCCAGCTTGAAACCCTCTCCTGCGCACCCTTGCCCTGGGATAAAGTCCAAACTCCCAACCTCCCTCCCTCGAGTCATCTCCCTCCCGCGCCCCCTCCAGGGCCAGCACTGGCCGGACCGCTGTGCTGGCCCCTGGCCGCACCTGGCCACGTCGCAGCCACCGAGAGGCTCCGCTCCAACAGGGCCTTCTCCAGTTTGCTGGGCTCCCCCGCGCACCCCCCACGCCTGGCAGGGGCTTCAGCGCCCCTGGAAGC